CAATGTCAATCAATAATATACTCAACAGTTCACATCTATGCAAGCAAAAATGTATCCGGTTGACTAGTTCCGTGATTTAATATGTATCAGGTTGGGCATGCTCACCTTTCAGAAACATATGATAAAACTCAGCACCTAGGTTCGTTTATTCGGCATCCCTTAAGGAGAGTCCACATAGGTAACATTGCTTATTTGGTATTTATTTATTATGTGAAAGGTCTCAGAAAAAAGAAATAGATAGGGAGTAATCAAAACAATTCCTGCATGTCTCTATACAATAAACTCTAATGGAACCCCCCTTCACAGATTTAAACTCATTTCCCTAGTCTCGAACATGCAAGATTCTGTTTAGATACATAACTGTATTGAAATGAAATATTAATTTCTAAGTGCTAATCATATTCACAATGTTAAGCTGTTACGAACTGCGTCTGCAATAGCCACCCTTTTTTACCACCGAAGATTGTAAATGCAGCGATTTGGTTGGACTGACGTTAACTAGCGAATATCGCGACAAGAAGTCTATAAAAATAAGCCAAAATGTTATCAGTCTTTTACCGCAACAGGTTACGGTTTGTGCATTCCAGCAAAAGGCATCCGCATTAGTAATCCCACACTGTTCAGTATTCACAGCAGAACTTCTTGCCATTAGGCCTAGCATGGCTGTACGTCAATCTCACGGAGCATGCCGCGATTCTATCCGACTCGCTAAGCAGCCTCCAATCTATTTTTCTCACCTCTTCCAATTGCAGGTCAGAAGTTATTTCCGAAATAAGAAGAATGATCCACAACTACCAAACCAACAACAACCAGAAGATTGAATTAGTATGGGTTCCATCGCACGTCTCCATTCCTGGCAATGATCAAGCAGACCGTTGTGCCTAGGAAAGTCTGGGTCTGGAGGATATCGAGCCTGTAGAATACTCCTATTCGGGATTTTGCAGTATTGTATCTTCTAGGATCAACCAGAAATGGGCCGACATGTTACGGAACCTCGACACCGCAAGATACCAGATTGATCCGAAGATACCAAACCAAACCAAACCAAACCATCCATCTGTAGCCATCTGCAAAGTGGCAACCAGACTCCGGACCAACAACGTACTACGAGACCATCAGTTCAACGCCATTGAATGTCGCTGCGGCCACGTTGCCACAAGGTCGCATGTCAGCATTCAATGCTCTGACTGAAACCCGTTCGTAAGCCACTGCTAGAGTACCTGGAAACCAACGGCATACCACTCACCATACAGAATGTTTTGGCTCAACCCACGGACCACTGGTATACGATAATGGAACTAGTCTTCCATTATATAACCAAATCTGTCTTGAACAGATGGGCTAAGATTTTATACCCAAAGTTTCTTAACACTCTTTAATTATATCCAATCAATCTAACAAGTTTCATTGCAGAAACATCAGAGAACATCTTTCCCCCTTTTGTTGAAAGCTTCCCACCCCCCTTTTTCCTCCCTCTTTTCTCATTTTCTTTCTCTTTTTTTTTCTTTTTTTTTTCAGGTCTCCTAGTTTTCCTACAGATAACAGATAATCTAACCAAACCAAACCAAACCAACGACTACCATTCGACTACCAATCAACAAGAAATACCATGATCAGAACGAGTTTGGAAGAATGAAGGAGACCGAGTAACTCACTCCACACCATCCAGGGCCGAGTTTCACCGCCATGTCATTCGACCCGACCAGATCTAACGAAGAATCAACAACCAAACCAACAACACCGAATCATCCAATTTGATCCAATCCAACTACCAACTATTACGACTACCAACAACTACCTAGATATCAGCATCCGCTGGAAGCGAAAGTTAACTCGTCATCTATCTACCTACCTACCTTAACAGTCTTTCCGTCGAATTTTAGAGTTTATTGTCGCCAAGTCAAATCTCGCGTGTGCTCGTGCTTCCACGACAAGATTATCGCGTCCCCGACAGGATTTATGATATCTAACAAGTTTGATAATTCTCAGATATATTTTTTATCATCTGCATGATTGCAATGCCCAAAATGAATTCGTTTTTTCTAAGATTTTTTTGAGAGAACCCTCGAAGACGGTCTATGAGACACGATTGTGACACCACCACAGAGTAGTCAAAATTTGAATTCAGAATGAGCAGTTGTCCCTGCATTGAGTCAGTCTGGCCCTATTTGTACCCCTAGTCTTGGAAGGCTGGCGCCCCACTGGTGTCATGTTCCATTTTCATAACTTAAAACTTACCCTGTGGTTATTTTGAATACTTTTGGGTTTTCTTTTGATTGTTGTTTCATATGGACGTAGCACAATTGATTTTCAAGTGATACGAATTGTGAAAATGCTGACATAAATCGATCTATGAATCTTGGTTTACCATAAGAGAACAATTGTACTTTATTTCAAATTACCGTCTAGTCACCTTGACTGTTGGTGATTTCGTACTAATATATTTATCTGTAATCGAAGTTAGGTGTAGTTTAATTCACATTTGTATCTCCCATATGTTTTGTCAAGGTAAAATGTCATTGAACCGAGTTAGTATATTGTGTGATACAGGGGATCAATAACATATTATTTAGCTATTTTAGTATCATGTTGGTCTAGGTAATGTTCCACGTGCATGTAACCTGACATCGACTGTCATACGTATTGATAAGGGAAGGAAACGTATGATTATATGTCCTCCCATGTCAACCTAGTGGTTCTGATCGAACCTTGACCAAAGCATACCATGGATCCTTGTATGCCAGCATGTGGAGGATCATATTGGTTCATTACATGATTAGCCATTGGTCAAAACAATATTTTCGTTCTATTTGTATAATGTGACATGAACTCTAAAGTCATCGACCGAAGTGTCAGATTGTCGATTTAAGATATAAGATAAAAAATGTCTCAAAAAATAATTTTCTATGTTAGAGTATCTCCCTGTAATATATCACACAATGTTAATCAAATTATCTGAAAATATTTACAATGGTTGAGTACAATTGTGTGGTAAAATAAGATGTATTGATATAAGTCTGAAGCGAATAATGATACAATATTAAGTGAAAAGCGTTATTAAATCGAACGACACTAACACACTTAAGCGCCAGAAACCATGTAATGAATCTTCAACTCATGGCACTTATGTAATGGGGCAATAAAATGAAAAACTATACAGTGACAGGATGGTTTGTTTATTTATAAATATATACGAAAAGACCTTGAACAAACCTATAAAACTATCATGAAGTAAACAAGTCGACGACCTCATCGTATAGTGATAAAGAACGACACGGTCGCGTTAACGAATCGACGAACTCGCTTCGGTCAATGATTTTGAGACATCACCATTAGGTTGTTGACTTATTAGGCACTAATACAAAAAATAACACATATTCAATAACAAATATATATTGTGCGTGTACCTTACTTTGATATTATTGGACAAAATGATTTAAAGATAAACGTCTTACTTTTCTGCAATTTAGCTCATGAAGACGGACACCGTATGCAATTTACGATGAAGGACATTTTGTCCAACAGCGGCATTTACCATTCCTTAAATTGACACTCTAGAAAAATATATATATTGAGTCTCATGAAAAGACTAGTCTTCATTTTCCCGCTCAAACGTGGATAATTATGTACACACATGGATTTAAAGAGACTGCTGACTTTCTGAGGCTAAGGTAGGGCGTTGGCGAAAGTGTTCCTTAAACACTGTAAAAGGCACAGTTCTTGAAGGCTTGTTTATCGTCACCAATAATTAAATGAACCCTATCGACATAAGAACATATTTGGTGTGAGTTATTAGCCTCGCTTTTCGAATTACTGTATTTTTGGTTTAGCGTGTCAACTTTCAAGAAGACATATTTCTTGATCGATTTGGATGAGCGCTATGAAAATTCAAAAAGGTTCTTCATGAAATGCATGACTAAAGTTTTAAATGCAGCTTCTTGTTGCCGTTTCGCCAAATGTCATTATCTAAAGAATGCCAGTGGCGTAAGTTACCTTGTCTGGCAAGCTATCATTCGGGTCACCCCCTCCTCCATTTCGCAGCCCCGAAGGTATGTTTTTCGGTCAAAAATATCATATCTAGGTTAGAAATTCGGGCAACCTCAGATATTCCGCCCCACCTCCCTCGGACGTAAACCTGGATTTCATCCTTCAATATTTAAAGTCAATTTCCAATGATGCTACACTGCAGTAAACAAATTGCAGGATATTTCCAATTTGCTGTCAGTTAAAAATATACCTGCATGGGTGTTTAAATTAGTTCTATATTAATAGGCCTACTATTAACACATTATAAATGATAATATATACATATTATTTATATACTAGCAAATTGTTAAATTACAGTATAATGAATTGTCTTCACTACATTTTAATTTAAATTGCAGTTTTCCTCTCACGAAATTGTAAATTTTGTCTTTGGGTAATAAAGGTAAAAAATATATTATCTAACAATTATAACAAGGAAAACCCCGGTACATAACAATATTCTATTCTGATAGGAAATCTTATCATACAATTTTACATACTGTTAGACATCAGTTTGACGAGAGCATACAGTTTCACATCATATTAGACATTAGTTTGACAGCAAACCAAACCATATAGTTTGACATCATATTTGACAAAAGTTTGACAGTAAACCAGATCATACAGCTTGACATCCTGTTAGACATCAGTTTGACAGCAAACCAGACCATACAGCTTGATATCCTGTTAGACATCAGTTTGACAGCAAACCAGACCATACAGCTTGACATCCTGTTAGACATCAGTTTGACAGCAAACCAGACCATATAGTTTGGCATCATATTTTACATTAGTTTCACAGAAAACTAAACCATACAGTTTGACATCCTATTAGACATACGTTTGACAGCAAACCAGACCATACAGTTTGACATCATAATAGACATTACTTTGGCAGCACACCTGACCATACAGTTTGACATCCTATGAGACATCAGTTTGACAACAAACCAGGCCATACAGCTTGACAGTTTATTGCACACACGTTTGACAGCAAACCAGATCATACAGTTCGATATCCTATTAGACATTTGTTTGACAGCAAACCTGATCATATAGTTTGACATCATATTAGACATCAGTTTGACAGCAAACCAGATCATGCTGTTTGCAATCCTATTAAACATTAGTTTGACAGCAGACCAGACCATACAGCTTGACTTCATATTAGACATTAGTTTCACAGCAAACCAGATTATACAGTTTGGAATCCTATTAGACATAAGTTTGACAGCAAACCAGATCATACTGTTTGCAATCCTATTAGACATCAGATTGACAGCAAAGGATACTATGCAGCTTGACTTCATTTTGGACATCAGTTTAACAGCAAACCAGACCATACAGCTTGATATCCTACCAGACATCAGATTGACAGAAAACCAGACCAAACAGCTTGACATCATATCAGACATCAGTTTGACAGCAAACCAAATCATACAGCTTGACATCCTGTTAGACATCAGTTTAACAGCAACCGGATCATACAGTTTGACATCCTATGAGACATCAGTTTGACAGCAAACCAAACCATACAGTTTGACACCATGTTAGATATTAGTTTGACAGCAAACCAGGCCATACAGCTTCACAGTTTATAGCACATAAGTTCGACAGCAAATCAGATCATACTGTTTGACATCATGTTAGACAATAGTTTGACAGCAAACCATATCATACTGTTTGACATCTTATTAGACGTTAGTTTGACAGCAAATCAGATCATACTGTTTGACATTATGTTAGACAATAGTTTGACAGCAAACCAGATCATACTGTTTGACATCCTATTAGACATTAGTTTGACAGCAAATCAGATCATACAGCTTGACATCATAATAGACATTAGTTTGACAGCAAACCAGATCATACTGTTTGCAATCCTATCAGACATCAGTTTGACAGCAAACACGATCAAACAGAGATTTACATCATATTAGACATCAGTTTGACAGCAAACCAGACCATACAGCTTGACATCCTAATCGGACATCAGTTTGACAGCAAACCAAATCATACAGCTTGACATCCTATGAGACATCAGTTTGACAGCAAACCAGACCATACAGTTTGACACCATGTTAGACATCAGTTTGACAGCAAACCAGACCATACAGTTTGACATCATATTACACATAAGTTTGACAGAAAACTAGATCACACAGTTTGACATCATATGAGACATTAGTTTGACAGCAACAAGACCATACTGTTTGACATCCTATTAGACATTAGTTTGACAGCAAACCAGGCCATACAGAAAAAAAAACTGACCATTTTCGCAGCGTATTTGCCACGCAATACTGTGCGTTCCTACGGCGCTTTCAATGCGTTGCAGAACTGAACGCCGAACATTGGCTTATGACGACCTCTGAGCCAATTTCCTTCGCAGCAGTAACACAGTAAGAACGCCTTTCTGGTGTGACGGGGCCATTAAGGACCCAACGACAGTGCTCTATCGAAAAAGCTACTGCGTACAGTAACATTTGATTTGAATACAACATACATGCACATTAGCAACAAGCATTAGCAATCTTTTATCTATTATATTTAAATTTAATAAATCTGAGAGCACAATTGAACTATGGAAATAAATGTAAAAACGATGACATGCGTTGAAGTTGTTTGTTGAAACCAAAACTGTCCAACCTTGATGTTATAAATACGATATATACGTTTAGGTGTAAACAGGTGTTGAAAACTAAGTTAATTTCTTGTTTGAAGTATACTGTGTCCAAGGCCACATCTCAGATTAATATAGAATAATCATCTCTTAAAGCCACTCTATCTTATATACAGAGCCAACAGCTAAGAATTGTTGATCATTAGAAGTTACAGATATTAGAAATATTAAAACAGAACCTGAATCATGTTGTTACTCGAGAGTTTCACGATATGTTACAGATTTTGAATAGTTTGATGAAATCCGGAATCTACTCTCTACTTCTCGCCCACGTGAAGCGAGGAAACTGCACTGCACTGCCCAAAATGTTTAATTAAAAAGCAAAGCTGCCAGTGGAAATACGCATTTTTATTGAGATGTTGGCATATTTAAAAAATAGCATACCAGGCAAGGTAATATACATTCTCAGGCAGATTTGATTTTAAACAAAATATTTGGCTGTACAGTAAAAGAATGAAATATTCAACCTTCAGTCCTACACTTCTTTTGAACTCTTTGGATTTCGGGGAAGGGAGGGTTTGATTCTCCCAAATGTACAGGCCTAGGGTGGAGCAGACACTTTATTTAGAAATTAGGATTAAGGGTCTTGGTATTAGGTTTTCTTCTGTTCTTATTCTGATCTGAAATTAGAAAAAATAAGAGAAGCATAGTATCTGTTATATACTGATTGTTTTTAGTTTACTATGAACAATATTATCATTTAAATTCTTATTTTTTGAATATGCAACTATCATTTTCTGCTCATAGACATGGGGGAATTTCTCTTGAAGGCTCTTATAGTGGGAATGAACTATCTTGCTTGCTCGATTGCTAGTTGTATTGAACGGGACAACAAAAGGTACTATGCCTACATTATGGTGAATATACGTCTTGCTGTATTCAATGTCTCAATCCAATGGGATTCCCTAGATTGACGGAATTTGGTAATTTCATCTTCGGCAAGTCAATTTATATGCACTCAAGTGGGATTAGGGTGAGATCGTCTGTTGAATGGTCGTCGAGGTTGAAATGATTAGAAAAGAGCTTGCCTTTCTTTAATTTGATATCCGACCTATGAGCATTAAAACGAGTTAAATTATTCTTATTTTCTCCTACATATTGTTTGGGGCATTTCTTGCATGAAATTAAATATATTACATTCTAATGTTCACATGATAGATGTTCCTGGATCAGGTACCTTTTATTCGTAGAGTTGCTTACAAAATAATGAGTTCCTGATATAAAGGGACATGTTTTGCATCTACTGGACAAAAATGGAGCACTCCTCAAACCTCGAGGTACTTCGGCATAAAGCCTGTTTTTAGCTGCTATCTGTGCTAACGTGGAATTTTTTATGTTTCGTAACAATCGTTTAGAGTACAGTACAGTACAGGCTTGGTTGAAATCAGAAGATCTTGTGCAAATTCGTTGAAATCGTTAAACTTGTGTGACTTAATTATACCAGAAAAGGTATGTTTTGGGTGAAAGGAGCTCTTGTGCATATGTTGATGAGTATCAGTTTCTTTGAAATACACTTTAATATCCAGTTTATTTGTTTCTGCTATATGAAATCTCCCTTAAAGACAGTGGTATCGAGAAAGTCTATGCTTTTGTCACTCACGTAAAGGCCATTTACTCATGTCAAAAAGATTGTAATTTTGTTTTGTTTTTTTTTTTTCAAAAGGGTTCATCCATGGGTGATTATAAACAATTTCAACAAATTTTTTCAAAATCAGTCCAAAATTGTGCTAACAAGTTAAAAATTGAGCGTGTTTCCAATAACAGGGCCAATAACTTATTAAATATGTTTCAACAGGGGTTATTCTTGGTTGATTAAAAACACTCATACCAAGAATTGTGCCCTCTAGACGGATTACGAGCAATTGTGGATGGACAGACTGGCATGGGTGACGGCAACATACGCCCCTATTTCATTTGAGAAATGCCGATCATGGAAATAACTAAGTTATGTATATAAGAAAAAGCAAACCGACCCCATAACAACATACATAGGTCTCGTCACATTACGTTTAACACGAAATGTTTTATAAAAACTCTACTGCAAACAGCTGAAAAATATGTCTACAAAAATAAAACTTGTGTATGCATTATCTATTGACTAGTCTGTATTGATCAATCCTATCAATCTGCATCAGTTACAGGAACGCTACTCAATGATCTACTGTTAGATATTACTGAGATATATCGGGAGTTTAATATTAGTATAGAAAATTAAGTTCAAGGTTATTGTATTTTTTCTAAGTATGATAGACAAAGGTATTGATTAGATTATTGTTCGTAGTTGTTGTCAGGAACGCATTTCGTTTTCACCTTCAACTTGTTTCAAGGTCAGGCATTATTATCTCAAATTAATCCTCGTTAAGTAAGTGATGAGAGTGGTTTATATCGCAAATGTCACGAGTTAAAAAATTTCCTGCAATACAGATATACGATTAATTCAAATACTCGAATACAACCAGATTTGTAAGAGCTTTAATAGCATTTATAGGATGCATCGGAAAAGGGCAACAAAACACAAGTCCTCTTATGCGTAATCAAAAATTAATTAAAAAGCAGGTATGCATGTAAGATGTTTTACATCTCTGACAACGTTTATAGTACGCACCGCATCAGGGTATTTCAATCTAACACACACCTAAAATAATTTTGTACGCTTCTCTCCAGTACAACATTTGGATTTGGCTTGAACATGTGAATTTCCGAGTTTCTGCACAACATGTCGTTGAGTTTTACTATAAATCACACTTTTATGAATACTGAAAACCTTTCATAAGTTTTATCGGATTAAGCAATTAAATATTTTCTTTGTCTTCGGCGAACTAGATATGAACGGTTACGGATAATTAACAGGGTATAGATCTCATGGGGCTTTTCTTTGCTTTTATTTCAGTCAATTCAGCTTTAGTAACGCATTATCTGAGAAAAACCACCGAGGGCAGGTCGCATCAGGTACCAGCTGATAAATAGAACATTGAGAAATAAACTTCTAAAATATCGGGTTAATTATGGAATTCCCATCATTCAGTCAATTATCACCATCTTAAACGGGAATACCGCCCATGACTTGCATCACTGATCAACCCTTCTCGACCTATTCCTGGATCAAAGAATAAATAAAAAATCTGGCATCAGACATATTCTGTACTTTTATGTATAATTTGACCCCAACCCTTGCAAATTTACAAACCAATGATGATTTATAACTTTAAGAGACATTACAGAACCTTAATTAACATGCTATTAATATTGAAATCTCCAGACATTGTGTTAAGAGAAGACCCGCCTTCTAGTCTAGAGCTTTCTTATAAAGTTGTTCCACGACTTCTTTTAACCCAGACAGCGACTGACCTTCATTCAAATAATCACACCACATCACACAACAGCTAAAAATACAGACATGGAGGTCGTTGGTAAATTCCACACCGAGTCAACTGTTGATGACTAATATGTTTGCAGAATGACGAACACATCGGCCTGGTAATCGGATGATGAATATTTTAAATGTATAAGTCACGCCCATGCATTCAGTTCTGCGTTCGGTTTGTTTCGACGGTTAAACAAATTTTCAATTGTAGTACTTCATTGTTAATAATATGCTTTTCATATGCTTGAAATAAGATA